AGAGTTTCTCGAGTCGGCAAATTAGGAATGTCGTGTTGCTTTGGGTCAAGCCTTGTGTTTGAGCATAAGGGTTGCGTTCGACTCGTGGAGTCGACATCATGGGAATGTGAGCTTGTCGGCGTCGTGTTTTAGGTAAGTGGTACCGTGTTGTGGTCTCGAATGGAGACACACGGTCTGTGATGAAATCGTGAGCAAGTTATCAGTGTGACTCGGATACGAGACTGAAACTTGGCGTCACGTGTCCACTTTGATGGTGAGGTAGTCGGAGTACGCTGACAATACACCGAACGACCAGTTGAGGTCTTGTGTGTTGTTGGGTATGAAGCAAGTCGTTGATACTCATGAGTATAGGCTAAACCGAACTGGGTCCCTTGCAAGAAGATGTACGCCTGAGCTCAGACAGGACTGATCACCCTCCCAAGCAAGAAGGTAAACATATGAGCATAGGGCGAGTCGGATTGGTTCTTGTATGTGAGTACATGCCTTTCGAGTATAAAGCGATAGGACTCATGGGAACGAAATCGAGTTCTAGAGGGTGATGCCCGGACCTCGTGATTGGAAATTTTCCGTTTGACTCTGTCGTTTTCTTTTAAATGTGTGTTCTTTAGCATTTCCGAGGACGGAAATATTTTAAAAAGGATAAATTGTAGCGCCCCGTTTGATTTATAGAATTTCTCGGAATATTCTATTTATCAAATATTATTTATAAGTTTATATATTTATTTTATTAGTCACGATGTCGACTAATATATAATGTCGAAATACTCGACGTTTTATTGTAAAACGTTCGTCGTCCGGCGATTTCGGTTAATCGCGAAATTGGAATCTAAGCCGTTCGATTATTGGGATTTTCGAATATCGCTTTAATGACATAAATATTATGCCTAAGTGATATTATTATGTGGATTATTATTATTTATTTGAATTGAATTGCCAGAGTGAAATAATTGTTTTATGATATATTTATTATGGTGTGCAACAAATATATATTACCAGATTTATTTATTCAATTTTTCGGTCATAGTCCTGTAATTTTATTTATTATTTATCGTCAATTGGATCGACCGGAAAATTTTTGTTATCGTGTTGTAATTCTTGCGGCCCAATTAGCATTTTTTTTAGCCCTTTGAGCCAGTATAAACTATTTCAGCCAACTATGTTTTGGCCCAATTTTCAGTTGTAAGTTAGCCCAAATAATATAATCATCTTGACCCAATGTATTAATGACCTCAGCCCATATTGATTAAACACCTTTGCCCGTAGAATTCAATCGGCAGATTTTTTTGGCCTTCCTCCTTCGCAAGACCGAGTGTCAATTGCTCTTATATCTGGGCAGAGTATCCTGACCCTCAGCACGTTCAAATCTCTTTCCCCAATCTCTTTCGCAGCATTAAAAAAAAAAAAAAATTAAAATTGTTGTCGTCGCCATTGTTTCCGGCGAGCCCACCATCTTCTCAGAGAACTCCAGTCTCCCGGCGACCGTCTTCCTCGAGCAACGACCCTTTCGACCTCGAGCAATAAGCCCGTCAGAACCAGCAAGTCCGTTCGAGAGACGCCGGCAGACCCGACCACCATATATTCCGGCGAAACCTTATCTTCCGGCAGCCTGAACGCCGCTATTTGTCACCGAGTCCCAGCCTCTGTTCATCATGAGGAGCTCCTGTCCGTGGACAGACCGTTCATACCCGACGCCGTGTTCGTCGAGCCTTTCGAATTTCGGGTCCCGTTCGTTCCTTTGAGACCCCGTTCTTCCGACCTGGTTACTGATAGCTCGTAATTCATTAAGACAGGTAACCTTTTCGAAATCCTCTCGTAAATTGTTGTTCAGGATGAAATCGTTCGTTTATTTTCGTTCGCGTCGAATGGTTTCGTTGGTTTTTGAGTTCGGTTTAATTTTTGGTTCGATTATTTATTTAGCTATGTTCGTGAATTATTCGTGGATAATTGGAACACTCAACTTCGTTAATCGAGTATCGTTGTTGCTGCTGTGAGTAATTCTTTTGATTTCGGAGTATTGTTCTATTGATTCGAGCCCTCGTCGTTTGTTTTGTCGCTATGTCGTTCGAGCCGGTTATGTCGTTCCGTTTTCAATCCCTATAAACCCATTTTTATGAAATTTCGAACTTTGAAAATTATTTGATTATGCATTCGTCATTGTTTGCAAATTCTCGAACTGCTGTGAGTTATTGTCGTCGAAAGTTCTTCTGTGCAGTCCGTGTGAACTTCGTTCAGTCGCAGGCCCTTGCTGCCATGTTAGTAGCCATGAGTCCATTTAAAATCAAAACCAGACATGTGGTTCAGTGGTCTGGTATGTCCATTTGCGTGTTAGGTCCTGTTCGATACTCCCAAGCAGCGTTTTTCCTTTTAATTTGTCCCTAAGGCGCGGGGGCTCTCTGGCCCGTTCCAGCCCGCACGCGGGCCGCTTCCAGTCACCAGCACCCCGGCCCGCGAACCCGAACCCCAGCCCGCATTCCTTCAGCTCTTCAGCGTTGGGCCAGGCCCTTGTGTTTCGGCCCAAATCGCGCTCTAGGCCCCTTGCGGCCCAAATTCCAGTGCTTGATCTCATCTTCGCTGCAGAATTCCCACCGCGGCCCAAGGCGATTTTTCGGTCTATTTTGTGTTCCGGAAGCCCGTCTTAATACCGATTTCAATTTTAAAAGTATTTTCAAAATGAGTAAAATTTGGAAAAATTATCGTAAGTCCCGAGACTCTATTTTTTTGGTCCTCGAGTCATTTCTTTTAAAAATTTGAGAGTTCCAAGTCCACGAAAAATTACGATAAATCCCTTAATCATTATTTGGATTAAGTGAACGTTTTTAATGATTGTAAATATCAAGATAATATATTTATGAGATTATCTTGATTAATTGTAGGTGTCTGAGGTGTCGAACCTCACCGACCTACCGAACTATTTGTGTGCTTTTTCTACCCAATTTTTCCAGGTGGGTTTTATTTAAAAATTTTCTATGCAATAAATGATTTACTTTACTTGAGTATGATCAATGTGTGCTTACGAATCATGTAGCCTTCGATGTGAGCTGTATCGGCCGTCGAACGGTTGTCCCTTATTTATGAAAATAAACTCGAGGGGTTACTCCTACTGACCGGGCATCGATGGAAGCCCGTGAGGCGATTCTATGTGTAGGACCGGAGGGCATAGATGTAGAGCCCATGGGGCATTCGAAGCATGACCCGAGCAAGGGCCTTCGATACATCTACCGACAGTAGTCTATTGATATAGATGTGCACATGAGTCTGTACACTGTGAATTTACGATGAAACTTGGGATACTTGGATTGATTCATATACATGCTGTGATCGTACTTTCTTTGTTACCGTTTGATACGTAAATGTTTATTGCATAGTGGTGAGCACCTCGATTTTCCTATTGTGCTCATCCCCACCTGCTCTTCATGGATGCAGGTTAGTTTTGTGGGCACGACAGAGGAAGGCGAGTGGTGGTCATTTTAATGAATGTTTCCGCTGTTTGAACTGCTAGTATTATTTATGCACTTCTCATATACATTGGATTTCAGATTATTGATAGGGAGTGTATTCCCTACTATTTATGGATTTGATGAACCCAGTTTGGAGAGTTGATGTCATTTATGAACCCGGTTTGGGTGTTGACTATTTATGATTATTGAACCCAGTTTGGGTGTTGACTATTTATGATTATTGAACCCAGTTTGGGTGTTGATTGATTATTTATGATTATTGAACTCGTTGGGAGTTGCATATATGACATGGTTGAAATGGTTTTTGAAAATTAGTAGCGCCGCAACTATTTTGAAATAAATTTTGAAAAATTTATTCTGAAGTTCGGCAAATAAAAGTGGGGCGTTACAGAGGTGCTCGGAAATGATTGAAGTAGTTGAATGGGAGAATCACTGGCAAAGGTTAGATGCGGAATTACAAAAGTAAATATCCAATATACGACGAAGATCAACGATGGATGGGAGTTGGATCATACCGTATTCCCTGTCAGTAGGAGGAGCGGACCATTTCTGGAGGTCTTTTCGACCCTATAAACGAAGTGAAGGAAAGGTTTAAAGATCTCAACCCTTAATTTTGACTTTACTGCGCTTCGCTTCATTCGTTGGGGAGATATAATTGACCTCGACTATAAATCCGAGGAATTCCTCGTTCTGGACTCTTGCCTTTGCATATATATATATATATATATATGTTCGCATGTTTGTCGCATAGTTGATTGAATAACTATTTCGCATTTTATCAATTATCTCCATATGTAATTCTCATAATTTATCACGAAAATTGTTTCGCACTTTATCAATTATCTTCGCATGTCTGTCGCATAGCTTATTGTATAATATATTTAGTACTTTATAGGGTGAAAAATTTTAACTTATTATTTGACAGTATGTAAAATCTATTCCGTCTTCATAGCGAGGTGAAAGTAGTTATTTCCTTTATTAATAAATTTGGAATGCCGACTTGCTAGAGCTTATTTGGGGAAAAATTCAAAATTAGTCCCACAGATATAGGGGGGTGACAATTTTGGTCCCGACGGAATGCACTAAATATGAATAGTCCCACAGCTTTTAAAAAATGATCAAAAGTAGGACTTTTTCGCCGGATTTACTATTTTCGCCCCGGAACGCCACGTGGCGCACACGTGGCTTAGTTTTGAATTTTTTCCTAGATAGGGAAAAATTCAAAACTAGTCCCACAAGTATAGAGGAATGACATTTTTGGTCCCGATGGAATGCAGAAAATTCAAAACTAGTCCCACAACTTGTAAAAAAATATGAACACGTCGGAGAAAAAGTCCTACTTTTGATCATTTTTTAAAAGTTGTGGGACTATCCATATTTTCTGCATTCCGTCGGGACCAAAATTGTCACCCCCTATACCTGTGGGACTAGTTTTGAAATTTTCCCGCGTATTTGTACACTATACCACTTTATTCCTTTTACACCTATTATGTAGACTTTTTTTTTTTTTTTTTTTTTCTTTTTTTGGTACAATATTATGTAGACTCTCATTTAACCTTTAATTGAAAATTCCTCTCTATTATTTCTTGTCGTTTTCCTTGTAGAACATTTTGCAGAAATCATTTTTAGTGGCTTAATTACAGAATATTATATACATATAGGATGGGTTACTATGTTTTCTCAGAGAGGCGATGGGTGTGGGTGTGGGTTTATGTTGTGTGTTGCGGGTTTGGTTCTACTGCTGTTGAGAAGCGTGTTATTTTGATAGATGAGATGCTTGCAATTTCGTCAACAGATGAAGATTTCATATGTGCCACATTAGATTGGTGGCCTCCTCAAAAGTGTGATTTTGGCAAATGTAGCTGGGGATCTGCTTCTTTGCTTAATTTGGTTCTCACTTCTCCCTCCCTTTCTCTTTTGTGCACTAATTTTTCTCTTTGTGTGTAAACTCCCCCTTTCTCTCTTTCATGTTTATATGCATTAGTTTATTATCTCTTTGTATGTAACGCGCATGAATAAAACTGGTTGCTCTGAATTTATTTATATCTTTTAATTTTAATCTCATAGTATGATCTAGTTATATATATATATATTATATTTTATTGCAACTTTTCTACTCAAGGTTGTTGTTGCGTCTTAATTAATAATGCAGGATCTCAATAACAAAATCTTCTTAAACGCGGTTAAAGGTACTGTACATTCTGGCATGGATCGCGAAATAATTATTTTAATTTAGGGTAGATGATAAAAAACTAATAATGAAATCGTGCAGCGTTTTCACCGTTGAAGATCAGATTGGGCGGCACTTTGCAAGACAAAGTCTATTATCAGACTATTCCACAGAGTAAATGCGGACATTTCAAAAAAAAAGATTCGGAGATGTTTAGTTTCACTGAAGGATGCCTTCCGTTGGATAGATGGGATGAGCTAAATAAGTTTTTCGCTAAATCTGGGTAAAATAATCATTCATTTCTACTTGTAAATTTAAACTTATTATGCAAATTGTTTTCAAGCTCGGCCTTGTTCTTTTCGAATCTCAGTGCTCTCGTTATCTTCGGGTTGAATGCTCTTCGTGGAAAAATAATAAACAACAATGAGGCAACCGGCCCATGGCGTTACCTGAATGCTAAATCTCTTATACAATACACAGTTGATAAGGGTTACTATATCTATGGTTGGGAACTTGGTACGTATCAACATTCTCCAATTTTTTTGCATCATCCTGTTTGCACAATATTTCACCTTTAGAGAAAGGGGTGGTGTGATTTGATGATCTCTTTCATTGAGAAGTTTTTCATTCATTACAGAAAAATGGTCTGGAATTTTTTTTTTTGCGAGAAACAAAAAGAAATGCAAAAATGTGATAAGAGTTTTTAAAAGGGAAATATCATTGTTTAAACTGACGTAATTTAATTTTTGTATAATTTATAGAGAAATTAATAACTATTGATTATGTTTTACTTGACAATACTACTTAGAAAATTGAAGCCAATAAGATCATGTTGATAATATAACGGTAGTAACATATATATTGATACTCACAAATATGACCTCATCGCACTAGAGATTTTTTTCATAAAATGTACATTATTCACTTTATCTCTCACTCGTTCCCTTCTCAATTTAATCAATATAGTTTTTAATTGAAATTCAATTACTAGTACTAAATAGCTTTTTATAATTGTTTTCTCAACTCATGATATTTATAACTAAAAACTCATATTGTTTTTTATATCACAACAACTCTACTTTTCCCCTTTTTTTTTTTTAATCCCAAACACATAATTTATGATCTTTTTTAAATTTTGTTACAAAAATGGTCCTCAAACGAGTGGGACCACATTTGCATTTTTTTAATAAAAAGGAAAGAAAAGCGAGTTCTTCAAGTTTGTCTAGAAGAAAAGCCATATTATTTTGATGTTTAATTTAAAAGTGGAAAATTGACTTTTTGTTTATTAATTTTGACTTACTCTAAAATATTTTTTTAATGAAAATTAAAAGTATATTTTTATCTTATTGTGCACTTTAATTTTTATAATTGTATGCCAAAATATTGTCCATTTTTTTTAACATTTGATTTGTCATGTTTTCTTGAACATATTCCTATCCATAAATTTGTTTAAAAATTCAAATATGTTTAAAAGAGTAAGTGAGAAAATATATTTAAATTATTTTTTAGCAACATTTTTATAAAAAGTTTTTAATAAATGTTAAAAAAGTATATTACCATTCTTTCCTAACAATACATTTAGTTTATTTTTTAATAAATTATAAAAATATAAATATAACTAATATACAAACTTTTGACAAGTTTTAATTTTTTGGCAACTTAAAAGAGTAAGAGATAAAAGTGATAAAAATCATTTAAATTTATTTTTATCAGAAATATTTTTTAAAAAATTTTTAGTAAATGTTAAAAAATATATATTATCATTCTTTCCTAACACTACATTTAGTTCATTTTTTAATAAATTATAAAAGATAAATATAACTAACATACAATTCTTTCACAATTTTTATTGTAAATTTTAACTTGATTTTTTTACATGAAATAATTATTTAATTGAGTTACTTAACAAAAGTTGTATAAAATAATTTTATTAATTAGTTCATGATATTTGATGCAAAAAAATATATGATATATTTTACTATAAATAAGTGGGAGCAAATGTTTATTTTTCAATTTATAGTTGTCAAAATTAAATTAATAAACAAAAAATTATTAAAATAAAAATAAACAATAATAAAAAAAAAATAGTTTAGATTGGGTTTTTTTTAATTCATATTATTTTATAAAGTTTGTTAGGATATATATATATATAAATTATCACATTACACTAATATTTAAAAGTGTAAACGCATTAGTATTATTGTAAGCATACTCACATTTTTTCTTACTTTATAAATTGGATTATGTCTTTTGGTTTGCTTTATATATTTTTAATGTAATAATGATAAAAATATTAGAAAATAAAATAAATACCACAAAATAAGCAATTATATTGTTTACTTTGTCATCCCAAATTGACATTTACCACCGCCCTTACTTTTTCACCCGATATTTATATTTATAAAATTATTTTTAATATTTATTTCTCGAATCATATTCATAGTACATTAACTTTATTATGTCATTTCGGCTTTGAGTGAATGAGAGAGACTAAGTCGACTTTCAAGTTAAAAAATATAAAATTACCAAATTTGTCTCATATGATTGGTCCCAAAGTTGCTAACGTCTTGCACGTGAACCCTGTTAATTTTAAATTCCATTCAAATAATTTCTTCTAAAAGTAAGTCAAACTATTTAATTAAAAAGTCAGTTTTTCCACTTTTGAATTAAACATCAAAATAATCTGACTTCTCTTATTGATGAACTTGAAGAACTCATTTTTTTTTTAAAAAAAAAAAATTGCAAAATTAGTCCCAAATATTGCAAAATTTGTCCAATCTAACGTCCTCACGTGGGACCATTTTCGCAACGAAAAATTAAAAAGGATCATAAATAACGTGTTTGAGACCAAATATGGGAAACAGTCAAGGTTATGAGACTAAATTTACAATTTTCTCTTATTAAACCTTGACTAAATTTACAATTTTCTCTTATTAATTAATAATACAGAATTAGAAGAAACAGTTAAGAAAAGACAAGAAAATTGGTCATATATCATACTTTTCCTCCTTTTTTGTTCGTTTTACTGTTTTTTGGAAAAACATAACATGAGTTGAACGCAATTAATTTTTGAAAAACTGAATGAAATATATGTATTATGTTGTGTTTCAGGTAACGAATTGTGTGGAAAGAACTATATAGGAGTAGGGATTAATGTTTTGGACTATGCCTCTGATACCATTGCTTTACACAAATTAATACAAGATTTATACAAGAATGTTGGGAAGAAACCAGTGGTGATAGGACCCGGAGGATTCTTGGACAAGGACTGGTACACCCAATTCATTGATAACACAGTCGGCTCACTCAATGTCATCACCCATCATATTTATAATGTCGGCGGAGGTATTATTACTTTTAAGAACATCCACAATGCATTGAGTTCAATTTTATATATGTGCCACAAATAAATAGATTAAGTCCTAAATGACATGGACAAACTCAAGTAAAAAAATCTAAAAGTCATCAAACGCAAAAATAAAACACTAGGTCTATAATATCTGTCAACCAATAAAAATCATCTAAAATATTTTCTATATCACAATTCACTCTCTCTCATCCACATATTCTCTACTTATCTTTCCACTAAACATCTCTCCATTTAAACACACACCTACATTCAATCATTCATTTAAATACAAACATATGAGACCCATTACCCACTTATTCAATATTATTTTTATATTCTATTCTTAATAAAATAAATATATTTTTTAATTAGAATACTTAATGTTAAATGCTGAAAATACACTAAATATTATTAGATTATAAAAAACATAAATTAAGATTACAAAGAAAAATAGTAGAACCGAAGAAAAAAAATTGGTGCAAGAAAATTATAAAATTGAGGTGTGAAGTGAATTTTATAGGAATAAAAAAAATGAGAGATATAAAATGTAAATTACTGATACATGTTAGGAAGTGTGATATAGATAAATTTGAATTTATCAATTTAGAATGTGTGATCTATATAAAACTGAATTAAATATATAAAAATAAAAAAATTGACCAAAATAATTAACTAAAAACAAAAAAAAGTGAAAAAAAAACNCATCATTATAAGGTTATTGAAGAAAAACAATTAGGATCAAAAGGGGACAACTAGGAAATAATTGCAGAAAAAACAAAGATAGAAAAAAATACAAGGAATGCCTTAATCATATTCACAGTTCACAACCCAAATTGATTTATTTCAACGCAGACACAAAGAATGTTCTAATCAAACAAGAGCACGACCAATGTATCTCAAGAAACAAATAAGGCTCAAACCTCACTAGGTAAATATATGAATGTCAATCAAAGCCATTAACCAAGAATTTCATCATGCTATGCCATATAATACCAACATCACAACTCATCGAATTCATTAAAAAAGTCTCAACTAATCATGAATTTTTCAACACACAGGCTCCAAAACACACAAAACCTAAAACTAGACCGGTCCACCACATAAGCATGCAAGATCCGAATAAACTCCCCCACACTTAAAATGAGGCAATGTCCTCATTGCTTCAACTCAAAACAAGAAGTCAAATAATAGGACATAACAATTTCATATAACAAATCAATACTAGCAGCTAACACAAGAATAAAAGACTCAAAAGAAAACATAGAAGGGAGAAACGACTCAAAAAGACAAAGATGAAGGAGTGTGCAAACCGAAGTAGCGTCGAGGGGAATAAGCATTCAAGTACAATCCATTCGCCCATGTTCAACCCAGTCCTCGATACGTCCTGCCAAGAAAAACCACAAAAACTCCAAATTCCAATTATTCAAAGATAAAACAAAAGGCAAAAAGAAAATAACTAAGAAAGCAGTAAATCACTTCGGTTGTCTCCCAAGAAGCGCTTGTTTAACGTCATTAGCTTGACGAAACCTGTGTACGACTCAACCAGGATCCAGAAAGTAGTGACGATCGTGCCATGCCTTCGTGTTTTCCAGAAGTGGTAGCATGGGAAGTTTGGCGAGAAGGCTGGTATGGTGGAATCGGATGGCTATGTTCTGGATAAGGCGGTCTCGGGCACGAGCAAACCCCAATTCTATACGTAGAGTCTGTCCCACCCGAGCTCTGTCGTCAATCTCCAGAAATATAAGCTCGCTTGTGGAGCAAGTCGAACTGAATCTCACCCACTTCGTAACATAATACAATCGGCTCGAAGACAGATGCTCCAACTCAGAGGTGGGAGGAGCGACTTGAGAATCAAGCCCATGGATCTCCTTCTCTGAAACAACATCAACGTCTAGCTGGAGCTCATCATCTTTTTCTTCGGCCTCACACATTTGTTTCATCATACGGGCTTGAGTATCAAGCATGAGGTGGGGATCGTTGACTTGTGCCTCGATTGAGTCGATACGTGCTGTAAGGATCTCCATTTGTGTACTCAGTCGAGCACATCCGAGCTCAATCTCCACATCTCGAGTGGCCTGGGCAGATATGCGAGTAAGGATGAGGTCGAGCTTTTCATCGTATGTCAAAACAGCCTCCTGAGGTTCACCCCTATGTGTAGATGCGCCTTGAGCGGTGGGATCGGGAGTGACATTGTTAACTCGATCCTCTAAGGCTTGCACGCGCTCTACAAGGTTCTCGATTCTGGACTCAATATTGCTTCTACGGGCCGCTTGGGAAGCTAAAAGAGCGAGGGCCTGGTCGAGCTTGGCATTGTACTTTGAGGAGTCCTCGAGGGACTCACATGACAGCTCAACAGGTATAGACTCCCACTGCTGCTCGTAAGGATATGACCAAGTCTGGCCATAGTC